AGGAGGTTTTTTTTTTTTTTTTTTTTCAAATAGCCTGAGTCCTTTAGTTTATTTCTTAATAGTACCTTGAACATGGTGACACCCACATATTCATTTGCCATGACTGATTGATGCATGTTTCAGGAATGCCTGCATCTTATATAGAAACACTTATAATTGGCATGAGTCAGTGATTTGGATTTTCTCATCTGCTTTTGCCTCTTGTAATATTAAAAGCAAGTATAGTATTAACTCTAGCTTTGAGATCTTTTTTTTAATTTAATTTTATTGTTGTTAAGAATATACACAGTAAAACATACAACAATTTGAGTGTGTTTACATGTACCATTTAGTGACATTGGTCACATGCTTTGAATTGTGCAACCATTTTCACCCTCTTTTTCTGAGTTGTTCCTCCCCCATTAACATAAACTCACTGCTCTCTTTTAGATCATTCTTAAAATAGCATAGTGCTCAAGGCAGACTTTTTTTTTTTTACTTGTTTAGTTAAACTATTCTTGGGATTTAAGAAGACTTCAGGGACTATTTTTGGGTTAAGTTTTAAAGATTATCTCAGGCCAATAGTTTCAGGGGTTCTTTCAGCTCTCTTGGCTCCAGAAAGTTTAGAGGTAATGAGAATTTGAAATTCTGCTCTGCATTTTCCCTCTTTTGATCAAGATTCTTCTACAGAATCTTTGGTCAAAATGTTCAGTAATAGTAGTCAGCACCAATCCAGTTCTTCTGGTCTTATTGTTTATGGAGGCATTTAGCCACACATTCCACATCCTCCTCCTATTCCTGTCTCTCCTTCTTTTGTTGCTCCAGGTGAACAGAAACCATAGAAGCCTTGATTGGCCTTTTGCAAGCGTTCAAGACCCCAGACGCTTGGCAATGAACTAGGAGATAGAACAGAAACACCAAACACGTTATTAGGCCAATTAACTGGGATGTCCCATGAAACCATGACTGTAAACCTCCAAACCAAGGAACCAAATCCCATGAGGTTTTGGATTGTGCATAAACAGGCTCAGCAGCTACTTTGTTATTGCTGTTGCTGTAAATAGATCCATTGCACAACTTTACCAGTTCAACTTCTTACAGGTGTACAACTTATTGACAGCAACTATAAGAACAGGATTTATTTTTTAAAAAATAATTTTTTTTATTATTGTTGAACAGAGGAGCATTTTTTAGTATCATTGAAGTGAAATGGTGGCTGCTTTGACAAAAGTACATGCATTCTTCTGGCAGAAAATGTTAAAGTAACCATAGTCAAATTGTTTGATAGGCAGGGCTATTAGAAGGGATTTTGCTGATATATAATATGGGGAAGAACAGCAGTGACTTGCAGGCAAGTTCCCTGGCTTTTTTGGGTCCAGTGTTGAGCTGAATACACTCTGGGTTTGTGTGTGAGATGGTCCATTTATCTCACCTCACTGGGTAAAGCAGCTCCTTAGGTCTATCATTGATCTGCACATGCTTGTATAAATGGCACAATTCGTTTTCCACCAATTTAAAGGTAAAATATTTTCTTGACTTGAAAGGTATCTCATTTCCTTTTCCTTATTTCATCTAATTTTACTCATTCATTCTTTCACTGGTTCTGTCACCCAGATAAGTTCAAAACAAAGATAGATTTTAGGAATTGGGGGTCAGGGAGGTGGTGGTGGGAGATGGAAAAGGATTGGGATGGTATGAAGGCAAAACAAACTGGGGGAAGGTTGGATGGTACTAAATTCCCACTTTGGATTCCCATTCTTCCTGATCTTCTGTTGGCATTTAGCATTCATTTGGGAGCCTTCTTCTTACTTTTTATGAAATGTAACTTCCTGGCTCTCCACTCATTTTTATTCTTTCTCTCCCCAGCCTAGAGCAGAGGTTTTGCTCTCTAGTCTCCTGGTTTTCTTTCATTATACATGCTTTTCTCCCTCTTGCATTAAAGCTATCATTTTAATATATAACCAATTGTTTTTCTCCAATTAACAAATGTAAAAAGTTAAAAGGTAAGACTTTATACACTTAGAAAAAGTACAAAGTGGTTAATTATAAATTTGGAAACTATAATTTAATTCATATCATGTAGTAAAAAGTATAAGATACACAGTATTTGAAGGCTCTATGCTAAAAAACTTTTTTCCCTAGACATTTGCTGTTAGCTGTCTTTGACTCATGGTGACCCATGCACAAAGGAATCAAATGCTGCCCATCATCCTGCACTGTCCCCATGATTGGTTATAGATTGGACTATTATGACTCGTAAAGTTTTCATTGGCTGGTTTTTGGAAATATGTTACCAGGCCTTTCTTCCTAATCTGTCTTAATCTGAAAGCTCCATGGAAATACGTTCAGCATCATAGCAACACATGAGTTCCCATTGACAGATGGGTGGTGGCTACACATGATGTGTATTGGCAGTGATTTGACTGGGTTTCCCTAACGGAGGGTGAGAATTCTGCCATTGAACGACCAATGTCCCTATTCCCATAGACACTAACCAAAAACCAAACCAAACTCACTGCCGTCAAGTCAGACCCAATTCGTTGTGACCCCTCCTTGGGTTTCCGAGGTGGTATCACTACAGAAGTGGATCCCAACCTTCTTTCCGAGGAGTGGCTGGTGGGTTTGAACCACCATCCTTCTGGTTAGCAGTCAAATGCTTTAGGCACTATGCTACCAGAGCTCCTGGTTCACGCAACTCCTTAAGATCTGTGGCACTTAAAATTTGTTAGCCTTTTTAACTTTTTCACGTAGAGCCAGTTAATTACAATAATGACACAGATAAAACAGTTATTTATTAGAAATCATTCCAGGTTTGTTCCTCAAAGACCATGATTCTGTTCTGATATACTTATTCATTTTCCTAGTAAAGCTGTGCTACATGGCTGCTGGACATATTGCTTAGATTTGGTTCATTCATCTCACACATCCACGATTTTCCACTTCCTAAGGTTGCCACATTTGTGTTGCTGGTGCTGAGAGTAGCTACAGTCCCTAGTTATCCTTTGCTCACCTAGGATATCTCTATTAGATGTCTCACTATCACCTGTTAACATTTACCTTCAAAGTGACTCAGTTCTTAATCAGTGATAGCGTATTCTAAAGATCAGAAATCTTACTTTTTACTCTTCATGCTACTTCAATTAGTATTGTGTTTTAGGTAAAAGTTTACACAGCAAATTGGATTCCCATTCAATAATTCATACACAAATTGTTCTGTGGTATTGGTTACAATCCCAGAAATGTGTCAGCACTCTCACCATTTCCACCTCACCTGTCTTGTTTCCATCCATCCAGTTTCCTTGTCCTTCCTTGCCTTCTCATCTTTGCTTTTGTATATATGTTGTCTGTTTGGTCTCATATACTTGATTGTTTAAAGGAGCAGATTTGTCACAGGAGTTATTGTTTATCTTATTGACAAATGTATTATTCAGATGAGTGATAGGGAGTGGCTTCTGTTTCAGTAAGTCTGGTCTTTTTTATGAATTTGAGTTTTGTTGCACATTTCTCTCCCATTCTAATCAGGACTTTTGATTATGTCCCTGCTCAGAAGTGTTGGTAGTGGTACCTGGGCACCATCTAGTTCTTCTCGTCCCAGGCTAGAAGAGGTTGTGGTTCATGTGGGCCATTAGGCCTGTGGACTAATTATTTCCTTGAGTCTTTGTTGTCCTCCACTCTCCTTTGCTCCATATGGCAAGAGACCAATAGTTGCATTTTAGATGGTCACTTGCAAGCTTTTAAGATCTCAGACAATACTCACCAAACTAGGATGTTGAACATTATTTTTATGAACTGAGTTATGCCAACAGAAGTAGTTGTTCCATAAGACTATGAACCTGAGCCTTCATACCCAGTAAATCAATTCCACAAGGTGTTCGGGTACATTTAGGAGGTATCCATAACTGTGCTCCCTATAAGCTTTATTGAATATATGAATATATATGCAGTACCTATGCAACCCTATATACCTTCCCACACCCATGTAGCATACATATCTACCTATGTCACCATTCATATATATCTTGCTTGTTATTATTGCTGTTACAAAATTGTATCTGTTATAGCATCAAAACCGAAAACCAAACTCACTGCCATTGAGTTGAATCCAACCCCTAGCAACCCTTCCTTGGGTTTCTGAGGTGGTATCACTAAGGAAGTAGATTGTCCAATCTCTTTTGTACCTCTTAGTGTCTTTATTTAACTTGGTCAAGTTGTGTTGACTTCCTCCATATTGTGTTTTGCCTTTCTTATCTATTACCTAGTAAGTGATTCTTCCTCCCTCCTCCTCCCATCCCTGGTAACCATTAAAGAATGTTGTTTTCTGTGAGTATATCCTTGAATTTTTATAAAAGTTGTATCATGCAATATTTGTTCTTTTGTGTTTGCTTAGTCCATTCAGTATAATGTCCTCCAAACTCATCCATGTTGTTTCAGGGACTCTGAATTCTTATTTTGAATTATTTCTAATCACATTGTATCAGAATTGGAAGAGAACTTTTAATTTGGTGCCGAATCCCATAGCAATTCTCTTTGCTGTGGTTCTGTACCTTCCCTGGCTCTGTCCAGATCGCCCTGTCTGGGTATCAGTGGCTGGGAGGTCCCAATGGGAATCTTATGGCATGTGGTAATGGATTGACATCTTCCTAGCAGAGACTTAGGACCCACAAAGACAATAAATCGAATGGATTTGATGCACATGTAAAGATTAGGGGCTAGGTAGAAGGTAAGCAATCATTACATTTGTAGGCTGCTTCAGGGCAAGAATCATTTTAGCACCTAGCAGAATATTTAGGGCAAGAGGTAATTAATTGATGCATGGTAAGAACTAGGGAGAAGTTTTCCTAGACCACCAATATAGTCCTATTGTCACAGTCTAACTGTTGAATACTAACACATGAGAAAGCCTCAAATAATTTACCCCAGGTAATCGCCAAGAAATTGTGTCCCAGGAATTATTTTTGTTAAAGACTGCCTACTTAATTTCAAGCTCTGCCTACTAAGCTTCATTTTAATTTTGCTTTCAGCATCAGTATGACCACCTGTTCCACAGTGGCTGCCCTGGGAATGATGCCACTCTGCCTTTATTTCTACACCTGGTCCTGGAATCTTGAGCAGAATCTCACCATCCCATATCAGAACATAGGTCTGTATTGGGCTTGTGAAATGCAATAGTAACAGTAATCGTACAGTAATAAGAGGTATTTACTATATATATCCTTTATGCAGGGATTTTAATATATTATGTAATTTAAGTCCTTAAATAACCCTGTAGTATTAAGATGGGGCAATCTACTTCCGTAGTGATACTGCCTCAGAAACTCAAGGAGGGGTCGCTGTGAGTCGGGTCCAACTTGATGGCACATAACAACAACAACAAATTAATTCTATTATCAGTTTCATTTCTTAGATTTTCAGACATAAAGAGGTTAAGCAACTTGACCCAGGTAAGTAAAGAACTGGAATTCTAACTTGTGATCTGACTGCAACGTCCAGGCTTTAACCCCACGACAGTTCATTTTTGAAAATAAAGAAAGCCAGAGAACTTATTTTTAAAAACTCATTTAATTAGACTATGAAGGAATTGAGCTTTTTTATGATCAAAAGAGTAACTGAATCACCATAGCTCTAATTAATTCTTTGTTCCCACAAATTCTCCTTTCACATTGCTGTAGGCCCTGACCTTTTCTTTACAAAGTGTATAAGTGATTCTTATTGACTTTTGAAGCTCATCCATGTGTCAGAACCACAGCCATATCTCTTTCCCTGAATATTATATCTCACTAAACTCTTCTTTGGAAGTCTCTACATGGACTTACTAGGCTTGGATGAAAAATTTGGGCATAAGATCTGCCTGTTCTAGTTTGTTAAGAGCCTCTGGAAAGCAATAGTAACTACGATTCTTAAAACTCTGAAGTGTCAATTTAGAGTCTCAAGGAAGACTCTAGATATTTGGGGGTTTACAACCCATGGTCCTTAGTCCAAAATCATGTATTCTATAAGCATGCAACAAGGGCCTAGTAGGAAAATAAAGGCATCTTTTAGGTAATATATTTGCCTCCTAAACAGAAGGTCAGTGGTTCAAACCCACCAGCTGCTCCATGGAGGGAAGATGAGGCAATCTATTTCCATAGAGATTTATAGCCTTGGAAACCCTATAGGGGTTGCTATGATTTGGAATCAACTCAGTGGCAGTGGGTTTTTGTGGTTGTTTATTATTTTCATTTATTTAATGGGCTGGAGACTATTAAATATGTAACATTTGAGTGAAAACTTAATCTGGAAGCCATGATTTTATGTGGAAATTTTCCCTGTCAGTAAGCAATTTAACATATTACTTTTTGATAATATTCTGAAAGGTACTCACAAATAATGAAAAACCAAAATGTTATGAGCGACTCATATAACTTGGGAACCAGTTGTGTGGCATTTGGCCAGATCTGGAAGGTGGCACTGGGAAATGGTGTATGAAGTACTGTTGGAAAGTGGATAGTCACTTCTGCTGTACTGAGCCTGCCTTCAATGCCTTTATTCATTCCTGATAATTCAGTAGGCATTTTTCTACCCACCTTGGATTACCTGGCTACACCTGGTGAATCTGAGAAATTGCTTTGGTGTGTGTAACCACCAACACCTACTGTGTCTGTGAAAGGTATGCTTTACTTTGTGAAGCAGAGGATCTATTGGTCTCAAACAGAGAAATAACAGCTGTGGTAACAGCCATACACAGTGACCACATGATTTCATGAACTTCAAATGGTGCTTAAGTCTTCTAATCTTAATGTTCCCATTTGTCTTTCAAATTCTTTGTGAGTTTCAGAAGAATTTTGAGAGGAAAATAATGGGCCAGGCATGGTGGCATTCCATTTGGGACATAACCTCATCAAAGCCTGTCTTCCAAAGTTCTTTTTTTTTTAATTATTGGAGGTGGATGCTGAAATAAAATGCAACTTCAATTTAAACTTTTATCTAATTGAAATAAAAATTGTTGAAGAGGACTGGGCAGTCAGGCTGAGAGGGGATACTGCCTGACAGATTTTTCTTCTCTTCAGGAATTACTCTTGTGTGCCTGACTATTCCTGTGGCCTGCGGTGTCTATGTGAATTATAGATGGTCTGAACAATCCAAAATCATACTCAAGGTAAGTGGCTCCATGTTGGAGTTAGCACATTCTCAGACTCAGAGACTCGGAAGACAGATGGAAGTAATGACTGGCATAAACAAACCGATCAAATATAGCCCATACCCAGCAACTTTACTTACATGTCCTGCATTATCTGGATGGTCCCCTTGTTTCCTCCACTTCTCTAAGTGTTGCTCTGTCACTCCATGGGTCCATACATTGAGTCTTATGACACCCTGGAAAGTATGAGACTCTTGCTTTACTGACAGAAAAAATTAGGTCTGTGTGTGTGGACAGAGAGGCCCAAGACCAGTCCATTCACAGGGTTTGACAGAGGCACTCTCAATTTGAAAGTTGTTCCAGCGTGCATGAGACAGAGCCCCAGTGTTAAGAATATGGCTGGCTTCATAGAAAAGCAGGACAAAGGGCTGTCTTTCAGAAGAATTTTTGGGAGAACCTCTAAAGTAGCTTGCACGCACAGAAAGGGTTGAACACACGAATGTGACTATTTAAATGAAACCATTCAAAAAGGACTTGAGGAGTCTGGCCAGAACGCTGGTGACTCGAAGCCACCAGCCACTCCTCGGAAGGAAGACTGAGCAATCTACTTACGTAGAGGCACTATGTTGGAAACCTAAGGAGTTGGAATCGACTCAACAGCAGAGTGTTTGTTTTTTGTTTTGTTTTTTTTTGGTTTGGCCACCAAATCATGGTAATGAGAACCTCCTGCCTACCCTTGACTTTGTGGAGTTATCTTTTGTCTGCTCAGAGAACAATCAAATGACCCTGTTAAAGGCTTTTTTAAAGGGCTAGAAAGGAGGCATTGTAACAGTAAAACCAATCCCTAAGCTGGTTTCCATTATTCCAATTATAGTTTTAGGATAAGTAAGATTGTAAAGTGTGTTGCTTCTGTGGAGATTTAAAAAATACTTCCATCATAGATTTATAAAGGAATAAACATTTGGGGGTAATTAGAAGGTTTGGCGAATATGCCTCAATTCATTTTATTTTGGGATTTATGGTTTTGTTCAGTTTAAGGGTTTGCGTGTGACTCAACCCGGCCAAACACTTTCACTCCATTTGCCTGCATAAACAGATGCCGCTTTCCCAGTCTGCTGCTCCACTCGACAGCTCCCCATCCTTCCTTCAATGAGATGAAGTTTGTCAGGGAGGAAACTGGAAGGAGAAGATCAGGCCTACTGGCTACTGTGTACAACCAAATGGCCTCTTGTCTCTCTAATGTTAAATTATTTGCTTCGGTGCCACCCTAGGCCCAGCTTCACTCTCCTTACCTCACTTGCAGTCCACTGATTCAACAGTAATAAGGATTGACAAGGAGGCAAAGCAACTGGGCACAGACAGCCAGAGACAGGTTTTGCTGTGCATTTGGATTGCTCTTGGGTGACTCTAACATTGCTTCCTTACACTTCATTCCCACTTTCTTTTTCAGTACATTCATGGGATAACATCCCTTGTTTTCCACATTCATCATTGTTATTTCAATAGGAAGAAATTTTCAACATAGGAGTGTATGGTTATGATTGTGTTTACAAAACAGAGGAGAGTATGATTGTGGAAACCTCTTATTTTCAAGTACTCTGTCTTTAGTTAGTTTTCTTAAAATGGTATCTAACAACAACATGATTTTGGTGTTTACAGATCCTCTCAGTCCATCTGTGTCAATGGAGAAATCAGATTTTCTGTATATTAGTTTTATTAACTACAAAGCAGAGTTAAAATCCCTGTCCCTTGGCTACCCCATAAGACTTGTGGCAGAAAATATTTAATAATGTGCATAAATGTTTTGGAGCACCTCAATGAAAACACAAGGCTAATTTAAGTATTAGAGTAGCTTCATTCTTTATTCTTAGTCCTTGACTTAGATTTGATTATTTTTAAAAATAAACTTCCATTTTCTTCATTTATTCTTCGTGAATTATAAATTTTGAAATTCCTTGTTGGTAGAAAGATTAAGTGTTTTTATAGTTAGACACCTTTCTTTGCATGATACAGCATCTTCCCATTAGCAGGAGGCCAGTCTGTCTCTATAAAGATGATCCTCAGAGCACACCTATGGTACACTGGATTGTTTTTGTTTTTGACCCCCTGACACCCTGGCTCATTTAAAATCTAAGGTTAATCCTGTACCTAGGTACGTAGTTTGCTGTCTACATGGTTTGAAGCTTGCCAAGATTCTGACTTCCTCAAAATATCCTGGTCCAATCTTCCTTTCTATCTTACCCAAAACTCAAACTACTGGAAATGTGTGGGTTTTCTTTTTGTTGTTAAATTATAAAAGTAAGAGATAGTACTCATTTGGGACAGGGCAGAGGTCAATACTTCTCACATTACATAAATATTAGCTCAGAGATAATCTGAGAACTGGGTAAACTTCGCTTGAGGCAGAGAACAGCAGAGGACCCAAGCAGTAGTAAGCCTTTGGTGCCTGAAAGGATGGTGATAGGAAAGTGGTGATACTTACGCAGAACAGATCTCAAGCAATAACTTACCAGGATGGTTCTCAGAGGAGTGGGTAGCAGCATTGTACATTTACTGTCAGATCTATTTTACTTCATAATTCTGTCCTATCCATGAACTGTTCAATGACCCAATCTATTTGGCCACATTCCCTACATGTAGGGAATAAGGAGACTAAGATTTGTGGTGTCTAAGGCATTTAAGAGAAGAGTGTTCAGCCAGGGGGCAGTTTAAGCATAGGCACTGA